AGGGACCCTCAGTCACTCCCTGCCGTGGGAAGGGGGACTGGGGTGCCCCACGTGGGCAGTTGTTACCTGGGGGCATGAAATCCCTGAGCTTCTCGGGGATGAGGATGCCCTCGGGGGTCTGGTGGTTCTCCAGGATGGCGCAGATGGTGCGGGTGGTGGCACACATGGTGGCGTTCAGCATGTGCACAAACTCCACCTGCAGCACGGGGGACACGGGGGACACCTGTGACGTGGGGAGGGGGAGGAGGACGGGGGAAGGACCCACCCTGGTGTCCCCCCAGCCTCACTTTGTCCATCATCTTCTTGGTCTGGCCGTAGCGGATGCGCAGGCGCCGAGCCTGGTAGTCGGGGCAGTTGGAGCAGGACACGAGCTCGCGGAAGGCGCCGGAGCCAGGGAACCAGGCCTCCAGGTCCAGCTTCTTGCTGGCTGCATGGTTCAGGGAGCCTTGGAGAGACAGGGGGGACAGCACTGAGTGGGGAGGGTCCCACTGCCCCTCTGGATGTGCCCATTGCTGGGGCAGCAGGGTGGGGTGAAGGGGTGAAGTTTCCGAGGTGGCTCCAGCAATGTGGTGCCAGTTGGGTATGGGGTTCCTGCTCAGGGATGTGGGGTTCCCTCTTGGACGTGGGAATGTGGGGGTATCACTCAGCTGCAGGGGTGGGGGTCACATAGGGTCTCTGCTCAGCCATAGGGTGGAAGGGGCTTGCTTGGCCACGGGGTCTTTCCTTGGCCATGGGGATGGGGGTCCTTGCTTGGCCATGGGGTCCTTCCTTGGCCATGGGGATGGGGGACCTTACTTGGCCATGGGGTTGGGGGTCCCTGCTCAGACATGGAGACAAGGAGTCCCTGCTTGGCCATGGGGTTCCTGCTGGGCCATAGAGATGTGGGGTCCCCACTTGGCCATGGGGTCTCTGCTCAGTCATGGGGACAGGGGGTTCCCACTTGGCCATGGGGTCCCTGCTCAGTCAAGGGCACAGGGAGTACTTGCTTGGACATGGAGTCTCCACTTGGCCATGGGGTCCCTGCTCTGCCATGGGGTCCCTGCTTGGCTATGGGGACATGGGGTCCCCACTTGGCCACAGGGTCCCTGCTGGGACATGGGGACATGGAGTTGCCACTTGGCTATGGGGTCCCTGCTCAGTCATGGGGACAGAGGATCCCTGCTTGGCCATGGAGTCCCATTGGGTCACAGGGATGAGGGATCCCTGCTCTGCCATGGGGACATGGCATTCCCACTGGGTCACAGGGATGAGGGACCCCTGCTCTGCATTCCCAGTCAGTCACAGGGATGAGAGATCCCTGCTCTGCCATGGGGACATGGTGTTCCCACTGGGTCACAGGGATGAGGGATCCCTGCTCTACCACAAGGACATGGTGTTCCCACTGGGTCACAGGGATGAAGGTGCCACTCAGCCACAGAGAGCATTCAAACAGGATCATTCCCTGTGAACATTCCCAGGAGGATCCAGAACACTATTCCTGCCCCTCTGGAATTCCAGCAGGGACCATCCCTTGGGGCACTGCCCACACCCACTCCCATGGACCCACAGGATTCCACAGGGAGACAAATGTCCTTTCCTGCTCCAGCGACAAGGAATGGGACACCAGGAGGCAGGTCAGGGTCACAGTGCCAACCCTGGTGCCCCCCAGGACCACCTGGCACAGGGAGGGAGTGGGACAACCCCTACCCGAGACAATGTTGACGACGTGGTAGGGAATTCCCAGGGATTGGTAGAATTCCTCAGCCGTGGCCATCATCTCCTCAAACATCTCCCAGGACTTGTTGTCGTGGGGGGAGGAGTACACAAACTGCTCGATCTGGGGGAGAAGGGAGAGAGGTGACACAAGGTACAGCCCCAGTTCCCACTGGGAATGTCATGGTTACAGTGGGTACACCCTGAATTCCCACTGGGAACTCCACAGTGACCTTAAGCACACTTCAAATCACCACCAGAAACCCATGGTGACCCCAAATACAGCTCAAATTCCCTTCAGAACCCCATGGTGACCCCAAATACACCTCAAATTCCCACCAGAACCCCACAGTGACCCCAAGCACAGCTCAAATCCCCTTCAGAACCCCAAATACAGCTCAAACCTCAACCAGAAGTACATGGTGACCTCCAACACACCTCAAATCCCCACCAGAACCCCATGGTGAGCTCAAACACACTTCAAATCCCCACCAGAACTCATTGGTGACTCCCAAATACACCTCAAATTCCCATCAGAACCCCATGGTGACCCCAAACACATCTCAAATCTCCACCAGAACCCCACAGCGATCTCAAGCACACCTCAAATCCCCTCCAGCCCCCCCGGTGACCCCGATCCCCCTGAGGAGCCCCAGCTGCCCCTGACCTTCTCAAACTGATGGATGTGGATGTGAGATACACCCCAAATTCCCACCAGAACCCCACGGTGACCCCAA